CCCCAAAACCCCAAAACCCCAAAACCCCAAAACCCCTTCTTGCATCCTATCTATTGAAAAGTAAATTAAAATTAATTTAAAACTAAAAATTTAGAAGAAATCTGATTTTCAGATTTTATGAGTTCTTTTTGAAAATTTTAACATCGAATTTTGACTGATAAGAAGTAAATAAGATATTTCAGTAATTTTTCATCTGAATTTTCAATAAATTTGAAGCCTGTGAAGGCCAGGAGGAATAAAGACTGTTTCAAGCTTGTTTGAGGCCTAACTGAAATTTAAGTGATGATTCTCTTAGACCAAGACAATAAAAATAATCGCCAAAGTACAATTTTGCAGAAAATGTTTGTCAAACCATCAACCCTGCTTAAATTTTGGCCAAAACCTACTACTAGATCTTGCTAGTTTTAAAATTTATTGTTAATTAGTAAAATTTTGTGCAGTTTCCAAAATGATAAAATTTATGAGAAAGAATCAAGTGCAAGCTTAGATGAAATTATTAAGGCCTTGGAGTGGTTCCTTCAGTGTAGTCTACCCTTTGCTTAAGCGTCCGTAAGACTCTATAGCTAAGTAAGACATCAAGGTTAAAGAAAAGAACTTGTTATTCTTACCTTTTGTTGTCTCCATTGCCGATAATTCTCTTCACGGGTTGGACAAGGATGTCGTTGGTGAAGGTCCCCGCCCTGTTGTACCATGCTAAATTTTGGAGATCAGAAGGCCGAGATTAGGGAGATTGCCAGCTTACTTTTATATAAATATCTCAGCTCGTCGGTATTGTAGACAACGCTAAGAAGAGTTCTTATAATGTCGTAATTATTCAGGTACAGATAATAAAGAGCGAGTTCTTCACTGTAGCTGAATTCATTGAAAGGCCACACCTTCTTGATTTCTTCTAGGTAATTGTCAACTATAGTTATTAAGCTCCTCTATTTGTAATGTTGGGAGGATATGATTGAGATAAGAGAGAAATTTGATTCCAATTTTAACCAAGCTTACCTTCAGAAGAACTTAATCTTGAAGGATCCCATACCATATTTCATTGAATTTCTTTTTCTGGGTCTTGTTTGAATCTCAGCACTTTTACACTAGTTTCAAGTCAACTATCTCCTTTACTTTCCATCTCTGCTATCCAATACTCAGAGGGTTCAGGAATGTGCTCAACTTGATATTTAGGTCCTCTTGAGACTCTATTTTCGCTTTTTATTTTGGAAAAACTCATCAGTGATACATATTGGTCCCTGAGTATCAGATCAAGTGTTTTTGCTGGATCTATCAACATCCATGCTGCTGTCAAAATTTCACTTTGTTTCCATTTGCTGTATTAAATTCTTAATTATTTTACCCAATTTTCAATGCTGATCCAAAAACTAGGGGTTTTGGGGTTTTGGGGTTTTGGGGTTTTGGGGTTTTGGGGTTTTGGGG